TGAGATAAATAACTCATTATTTAATAGTTAATACCATCACATGTTAGCTTTAAATTAAAGACAAGTTATGTGGCAAATGGATTCTTGACGTGTGATGACATTAATAGTTAAATAATAAACCATTTGTTTTGATTGACAATTATAAGAGATAATTTTTCTCTTTTTTTTTAGAGAGATAGACCTATTCGGTATGGATTTGGTGGTTTGGTATGTGCTGTAATGTAAATGATTTATATTTTATACTCCTTCCATTTGAAAATAAGAAATATTTTTTGATTTAAAATTTATTTCAAAATAATAATTATTTTTTTATTTTAAGAGAAATAAATATTTTTTCTTAATTTAACTTTATAATTATCTCTTAACTTTAATTATTCATCTTTTAATTAAAATAATTTTTTATTTCTATTTATTTTTTAAAAATAAATAAAGAAAAATATAATTTATTCTTAATTTTTTAATCTAAAAATAAAATTAAAAAATACTTATTACTTTGAAATTAAATAAGTAACATTTTCCCTATGAATGTTTGCGTGCCATGTAGCATGACATTAATCCAACGTTATCCAACAATTGATTTGGCAGCAAAAGGTGTATCTACTCAACATAACTAATTTCTGACGTGGAGTATCTTAATCAGTTAATCCGCCCAGCTGTACGTACATATCTCACCGACAGTCCACAGATTAAGTTTAACCCAATTTGATGCTTGCTTGTTACTAACATAAACAAAAACAAATGAAAAGTCAATGCCGTTATGAACAACTTCTGACTTTTTTTAATAGAATGCCAATAGATTTTTATTAATGTATTGATAAATGATAAAAAAAAATTAAGATGTTCTAACAATTAAAATATGAATTTTTTTAATAAAATTATCTTAATACTATTAATGAATCGATAAATAAAAAAATTTATTAAGACTATTAAAATAATTTCACAAAAAACTTCACTATCTAAGGTTTTGTTTAAAAATGCTTTTTAGTATTTTAATTTTTAATTAATTATTTTTTATTATTTTAAAAATATATAAAATATTAATTAAAATAAATATTTTATAT